TGCGCGAATGTTTCGGCATGGCGCAATGTCACAAGGGAGGATAGAAACGGAGCAGCACAGGATCTAGGGCACGCACGAGACATGCGCAGCGTAAAACAATCGGGGCCACACGTTTCTGGCCTTTCATCCAACTTTTTCACACATTTTTGGGAAATTGTTTTTTATTCACCTTCGCTCAATTTTAGATTTTTGCGATAGTTTTAGGAGTTTCTCTGGGAGATCGAGCGTAAATTGGCCGCCTTGAAGTATACATTTCACCACAAATCAAGTATAGATTTGAAGGATTTTTAACGTTTTTTTTTCTGAAATCGTTACATTGTAACGTCCTTTGTATAATTTCCAATTTTTTCAAAGGTTTTGAAAGTATAAACAATTTTCTTTTTTTTTTGGGGGGGGGGTCCAGATACAATTTCAAACAACGGCGTTTCAAAGGTAAAATTTAAATAATATACAATTTAGAGTACATTCAAAATGTGCCGTTATTTTCAATTTTCGACAAATAACCACTATTTACCTAAAATAATTGGACATACGTATTGATTATTGTATCCATTCATTTGTCATCTCTGAAAATTTTAAAATGTATCAATACGTTTTATATGTAGGTTATTTATCCAGATTTTAACATTTTTACGGAAAGAAAATGTTTTATTACGAGAGACATCGGGATCCTTTCCAAAATTGGCCTGCCCCCTTGAGCGCGCGTCTAATAGGGCAGACTGTGTCTGGAGGCAGACACGACACCACTGGAACGAAGAGAAGCCAGGACACAGGCAGAGTGGCGGGGGAAAACGGACGAAAGGGAACGGGGGCTGTGGAGGCCTAAGGCTCTCGAAAGGCGCGATACGCCGCACGCCTTCCGTTGGGATTATTCCGAAATGTTTAGTCGCCGCGGCGCCAGGCACTCGGCTACGAAGATCAACGCACTGATCACGGGTTTCCGCGCATTCCACGCGACACGGTTATCGACCGCTGCGCCGCTCAGCCAGCAGGGCCAACGGCGCAGGAAGGCGGCTGCATGCCAATTACCTGGCAGAGATTTTTAACGCACGCCTCGACTTTTAACCCTTTTTTTCACTCCCGGAGTAGAGCAAATGTCGACTTCATGTAATCAAATATGTATAAAGTCATTCACAATTATCGAAAGCTAAAATATGTCCCCAATAATTTCATTTTTGCAATTTCGATTCTACAACACAAAGATAACAAGTGAAAGCAAATAATACATTTGCATTCGAGAAAGAGAATATTTAACAGACACATGTAACACTAAAATCACAAAGTAAATATCATTAACTTAAAATCACACTGGCATTATTCAAACTTTAAAGATTAGTTGTTGAAAATGCTAGTCTAATGAACTTAAACGTCATCACAAAGACAAATTGCGACCGCTATACATCCTGTCTCCATCTCCACATCTTAGCTGATAAATTCGTCCCTCGCTGCCCTCATGATTGTGATCGCAGGTCAGTCGTTCCACTTCCCCCGCCTGGCAACCCGGCCAGCGCCCGCTTGGCCCGGCCACTGTTGGCTCCACCCGCCGCCACTTGCGCCGCCGGGCAATTCCGCCGCAGCGACCGGATTTTGATGAAATTCCCAGCTGAAGGACCTCAATAAAATTCATCAAGCAAATTCAATTCCGATCGATTCGGGACAATTGGAGCCGACGGCCGTCGGGCCAACGCTCGGCCGGCGAGCACATAACTCGCTAAGCGGCACGGCGGCCCAGCAACAACGGCCCTAATGGTAAAATAAAAAATAGAAATACACACACACACAGCGGCGGGCGCGTTCGTTCCCACGCTGCGCTTTCAGTGCATTTTAATACGGCGTATTATTTTCGAATCGCGTTACTATTACTCGGAGTAAAAGGTCGACATGGAAAATAAACAGCGGGCTCGGAAACGACGCGGCGAAACGAAAGGAAATTAGGTACAGCAGATGCGGGTCGGCGATAAATCGAATCGGGGCGCCCGTTGCTGCCCCCGGGAAGGTTGACCAGAAACGAGCGAACGGTGAGTGTCGTTCGGGGCGAAGAACCTAAGAAGAGCACAAAGGACGACATCGTAAGTATACTTCGGATTCTAGGAAAAATACCTTTTATTTAGTGCCTTTAGGAGATTGTGAAGAATAATTTCAATGTTACGAAAAAGGAGGTATACTGAACGCATTTAATAGTGCCTAAAATGTCCTAAAAGGGCGATTGATAACTATTTTAATATTTTTTGCCTAAAACTGGATAAACAAGTAACTTTGAAGAATCATATTTTAATTAGTCTTTTAAATTTGTTATAATGAAACGCGAATATTCCCTGATCAATTATGCAATCGACAACTCTCCAAAATATCTCAACCCACAACCGAACATAAAGGGCTTTGCAAGTCAATACAAAGAGGATGTTTCAGGCTGTCTCCGGTCAGCGCGCACTTCGTAGGCAATTGTGCCCCTTCTCGTCGCAGCTGTGCTGATGATTGGTGAAGGCATCGCCGCGGCGCGATTGCTCAGCGGCCGCCGAGGCAAGTCACAGGTCAGGCAAAAGGCTACTGTCGGAAAGGCGAAGCTCACAGAATACGGCCCGGCAAAACACAATTTTTCATTCCTCCCCACTCACTAATAGGCAAGCTGTGAAACAAAGGAAAACCTTTGACAGACCAAGTATCCGTGGTGCAAGATACCGAAGTGAAAATCATTGCTGCTAAGGGACTCGTAGGGGACACAGTAAAGTGCAAATGAGTGAGCGTAATAAAACAAATCTTGGTTATGGTGTAATGGTTCTGTGGCACAACATTTGCTGGGGGAGGGAGGGGAAGTTCCAGACGAAAGCAGCATGAGAAATGTAACTAAATTTAAGTTTCCTCCTATAAACTCTGTATCACTGGAATGGTCCTTTTCAGCTTCCAAAATGATTTTAACAGAGACACCCCCTTATTAGAAAAGATTTTGAGAAAATCTTGATTATATAATGTGCTGCTAATGATGAAAGTGAATAAAAGAATATGCGTGTGGTCGCTTTCATTTCATAATTTTGTTATTTTTTAGGTGTATAAACTCTCTCACTCGTCACCGTTTAGTGCCTAAAATTCCGAGATCTTTTCAGAGCGGCGATGGGAGAAAACCACCCAGGTACGGAGGTGTTATTGGGGGAGAAGAAACTAATTTATAAAACGGAAATTTAAATGTATAAAAATATCAAGGTACGCCAGATAGGTAAACTTACAAATGGATATCGAGACCAGGTGAAAGAAGGAGCGGAAGCAGCGAATACAAACACTCTTCAGAAGATGGAAAAAGATGAGAAAGCGACCAAAAGCCGAGAGGCTCGCCGAGTGGAATTCGTCGCAGCACAATGTGCTGCTGACAGAGGTGAGAAGAGTATTAGAAGACAGAATAAAGAGAACGCGCCAAAATGGCGGCCGTGGTCGCGGCCAACTCCGTAGCCTACCACGACCCCCCCCCCCTGGCGAGGGCGCTCCACCTGGCGATGAGGCAATTACCGGAGCGCGTTTTTCAGACGACTGCGCGGCGCCTTGCCCGGGAAACGGAAGAGAGCGACGAGATAGCCTGACGACGCGCCCAAAGGAAGCGCCGGGCAGCGACGAGGAGAAGAAGATAACAACCTGATAGACATGAAAAATAAGTAGAAAGAGATGGAGATGATAAAACGGAAGCAGCAGAATTTACTTGCTTTGATTGAAAACGAATGTACACAGCGGTAAAAGGTTCAGGTAAAAAAATATGGGGAGCTAACTAATTATAAAAATAATTACGAATGAGAAAATAATTTTATTGAAAGATTCTAGAAATATTATTAAGTAAACAGAAAAAAAACATGCTATAACATTAAGTATCTCTTCTTAACTTTTTCGTTTCTGATTGAATATTTTGTCTTTCGTGGCGCGTCAACTGCTGCGCGCATTAGTCCTGAGTAGTGCATGTCTCACGAGTATCACGTTGGGTGGCGGAGTTCTTCCACCGCTGAAACATGACATCAAGCGTCGACCTAAACGGCAGTTTACGAAGTTTCCTCATCCAGGTATCTCTCTCTAGTGAGCCACCCCTAGTCGGAGCACACTAAGGTCTCGGCTGATCTCTTGTTAGTGTAGGGCATGTGTGTGTAAGTATACGCTGAGAATAGGACGAAGAAGAGGAAGGAAAGATCATGCGCGGTCAGTGGCTCGTTTGTTAGGAACTACTCAGACACTCGCCTGGTCTTGATCAGTGAAACGACGAAAAGTTGCCGATCAGAGTAGCAGGCCGCTAGAATTCTCAGATCAAACTCGTATATCTCTTGGGTCGAATATTCTGCGACGGTCGGGCCTAGAACACAGGGATCTCCAGAACAGATTTACTGCTGTGACATTAGATTTGTTTTCTTTTTTTGGAAAAATCTTGCTTTTGTTATTTCATAATATTACAAATATTGCGGAAAAACTCTGAAGTAAATTTTGTAATTGTAGGAAGACGCCGAAAAAATGTCAATATTTTGCAATCTTTGAAAATCCAGAGTTAACCGTGAAAAACAAACATATTCTACCGTTAGAAGTGCTTTTCACTCTATTCTGACAATAAATTTAAAGAAAAATTTGTAAGCCATTTTTGAGGAAATTTTGAAAATGTCCCAGGGGCTTCATGTAAACTACCCCATAATATTAAGGAAGATTTTTCCAAATCGCCGAGGTTTGAGTTAGACCAAATCGACAGGTGTTCAGTTGGAAAAATTTCTTCGATTAGTTTAGACGCTAGTGTTGTTCACATACACCAGACGGGCTGTCGGACTGACAGAGAGACGTTTAAAAACAACACTTTTTTTGGTATAAAGAGACCCAAAACGTGTACTTTCATTGAAATCTTGAAATCGATTTTCCGCGGTATTACATAACAATATCTATACTATGCATACAAGTATCACTTCGTGTATACTACTTGTACTACTCTGCATATACAGACGCAACGTACGAAAGGAAAAAGCAAGGCAAAGGGGAAATTAAGGCTGATGATGCGGGCTATTGAACGAATTCAGTCGCGCAGCGGGTCTCACTGGCCCAGAGAGCGTGAGGAGGCAGCTGGGCAGCGGGCACTGGGTGGCGGCCGCGGCGGCGAGCGCATGGCAAGGTGGCCGGTGACGCTCGTCGCGCCGTTGGAAACTCAATTACGACGACAATCGTATCACGGGCACATCGCATCGCTACTGCACCGCCACTGCTCGCAACTTATAATTACGCGCCAGTCCCCAACGCCACCACCAGCCGGAGAACACTGTCAGGGTAGGTCCGGGTCCTTCTGGCAGCCACAGATGGAACGCAAGGGGCAATGACGTGTGTACGAATACATAAGGAAGGGCGCAACAACCAACGCAATTGCTCAAACACCATACTTAGGAAATAATGAAATAAGAAGAAAGACGGTAATGCATAACGATCACCAACTGCCCAAATCAACCTGTGAAAATATAAAACGGCCTAGACGTATTACATTTCTTTCCACAATACCGATATGGGATCGTAAAAAAATAATGTATTGCAAAAACTGACATTTAGTCACATGACATTTGAAATCCTTCAACCAGATGCAGAAGTTCATTAGTACATTCTCAAGAACCCAAAACATCACGAAAAATAAACAATATGACAGGTTTACAAAATTATACAACTACACATCTCAACAATTAGAAAATTAAATATTTGCAAGGCAAAAATTTCTAAATGAAAAGTATTGAATGAAATTTGAATGCTTGAATGAAAAGCAACAAAGAAAAAACAAACACAAATATTAAAACTATTTCATATTTTTAGTTTATACTTACTCATATATTTGTCTTTCACAGTTTAACACTCAACTACAGGCTAAATTACAAATTGTCACTATAGATAGTATAATAAAGCTGATCATTTTCGGAGAGAAGAAAAAATATGAACTGCAAATGTTATATTCGTAGTTCAGAAAATCTTGGAACAATAGTTATTTATGCACCAAGGGCGTTATAAGGGTTCTATTGACCGAGTTCTATTGACCGATAGCGTTTTGGCGCCTGAGATCACTAGAACCAGTTAAAGCCCGTGGTACACACACAATTTTATTTTTTACCTAATTCTATTGATTCAGAAGTACGTATTTACTAATTAACTAGACGTTAACTTGACTCGGTTTGTCTATTCATATTTCTCTCCCATAATTCCCTTTCTAAGAGAACATGCAGCATCACTCAACTGTTTTCACACTTCCCTCGAAACCACGGTCCTCTTGATTCAGGTAAGTTATGCAGCGTATATCAAGCTCCGTATCAAAGACCAAACAAGCAATAACGTATCAATAAAAAAAATATCCCAGGTTTGTCGTTAGCATTTCTATTGAAATCCTCGTAATTCTCATTTCTTTATTTCATGATATTTAAACAAATCTTCCATACGTTTGAAATTCCAATTCCATTTATGGTTGCGTAGGCTTCCGCGGCCAATTCCAATTCCATTTACTTGAAAATGATACATCTTCAGGTCATCCCAACTAAAAACAACCAAAAACTTCCATTTCCTTCCCAAATCAAAGAAATGAATGTTCTACGTAATGAAAAGCACCTGGGCGGCGTCCTCCATTGGTAATGTTGGAATTAAATAGTGTTGGCCCACCCTTAGCCTTGATGACAGCTTCCACTTTCGCAGGAGTACTGTCTATCAGGTGCTGGAAGGTTTTTCGGGGAATGGCAGCCCATTCTTCACGGAGTGTTGCACTAGGGAGAGATATCGATGAGGGTCGGTGAGGCCTGACACGAAGTCGGCGTTCCAAAACATCCCAAAGGTGTTCGATAGGATTCACGTCAGGACTCTGTGAAGGCCAGTCCATTACAGGGATGTTACTGTCATGTAATTCCGCCACAGGCCGTGAAGTATGAACAGGAGCACGATCGTGCTGAATGTTGCAATCGCCATCCCCTAATTGCTCTCTTCAACATTGGGAAGCAAGAAGTGTTTAAAACATCAACGTAGGCCTGTGCCGTGACGAAAGTGCCACACGAAACAAGGGGTGCAAGCTCCCTCCATGAATAATATGACCACGTCATAATACCATTTTGGACGAGTTCGGATACTATTGATCATAATGTATTAAAACATCTACCCAAAACAATAATTTCGGCAGGAGAGACAGATGGGGCTGCTACTTAAAGAAAGCGGCGCATCTCTAGCAGAATTTTATTTGAGGTAAAGCAGGACATCCTTAGAAAGTGTCTACGCGGAAACATCACTGCAGCTCGGAGACAGGAGGGGGCGGGCCAGACGGGCACAGCCGGGAGGCGCATAAAAAAATTAGCAGTTGCCTTCGGGCGTCGGCACTCTTGAAGGCGGCGGAGCCAGGGAGGAAGAGAAGGACGGTGGGGCGGAGGGGGGGGGCGCTCAAAGAACACGGCACCAGGGGATACACGGAGGCGGGGGCATAAAGTAGCGAGGGAAGGAAATCGCCGGGGGCCCCGCTCGAGCCGCGTGGCGCCGGCGCATCCCGGGCCCGGCCCCGGCCGCGAGGCGACGGGAGTGTTAAAATTTAAATACAAAAGGGTTAAGAGTATGAATAAACGGCAATGACGAGGAGCCGGGGGGTCGTTAGAGTTCAAATGAGAGAGCTACAAAAAGGTGAAAAATCCACGCTCGCCGGACGTCCGCGCTAAACGAGCCCTGGAAGCGAGGAAGGATTGTCCGTTGGCGGGGGGCGCGAGGAACACGCCGAGATGGGGGGGGGGGCGTCGATGGGAAGAGCCGGCTAATTAAATTTGCACTGCGTTCGCGCTGCCGGCGGAGCCGGTAGTGGTCAGGGCGTTGAGGGGGGGGGAGAGGGGGGCGGCGCTTCGACAGGGGAGAGCGCCCCACGCGGGAGCAAACACGTCGCGTGGCGGCCCCGCTCTCAATTACGGGTCGCCGGCCTCCGCCCCCACCCCAGAGATCTTTTTGAAGGTTTTATTTCCTTCTCGTTGCGCGCAGCGTATTCATTTGCGGATGTTGCCCTCCCCGCTACTTAAAACACAGACCGGAATTTATAGCAATGAAAAACAATTCTCGTGTCGTCCAGACAGAATTGGCCGTGTAGCTACAAGGATCCCTGCCGTGAACTCGCGGGAGATTAAAAAAAAATTAAAATGTTGGACATGCACAGAGTCTGTACTTCTCCGCAAGGAGATCAAATGCGAGTTCTAACGGCATTGTTTGCATTTCGGGTTCCATTAACTTTGGACGGTCTCCTACGTTTAACGTCGTTTGGGGAAAGAAATGCAAGAGGTTACGTACGAAAGGAAAGCAACTTTGTGCTTTTCGTTGGATTGCGTTTATTGTTTATCTGTGCACGTGTTCTCTTTCGAAGGTAAAAAATGACGTGAAAAGGGACTGGAAATTATGTTTTAGACAAATTATAAAACTATAAAATACAAAAATAAGTAGACAATTTTAAGTTATTAATAGATAAGACATTTCGTTTTGATATTTAAAATAGAATATTGTCGATACAACAATTTATAAAATAGAACAAAGATTGCACTTACTCTGAACTTTGAGTATTGAGAATCGATATAATTTTATCATTTATAAATGTATTTCTCAGATTATCGAACCGAGAGCACATCTTTATTATGTGTAGAATGTTTCATGCAGTTCTAAGTTACATAGCTCGCATCTCTCCATTTCTGTATTATTGTATATAATATACATCTTAAGAGAAATGTGAGAAAAGTTTAAGTAAGGTTGAGAGGTTAGCATGTTAGTATTTTTTTTTTACAATTTTACATGTTAGCTGCGTTTTGAATTGTAGATCCTAATAAGATCTACTTCGAACATTAGTTCTGAGTAGTCTAGCTTTGTAAATGTAACTTCTAAAAGTGTAATTTTTCTAATTCTACCAACCAGAAATAAATGCAAGAATTACTTTGTAAATGGCCGAACCTACCATTAAGAACTCTAATAGGTAAGACCTGGTTCAAATAAATTGGCAGTTTCAAATAAATTGCATGCATTGAATATTTTCGATACTTTCTCTTGTTGAATTAAAATCTAAAAGTTCATTACCAAACCCAAGAAGTTCATTAGAGTTCCTATAAAGTAGGCTGCAACCGATACACGAGTTCGATATGCCGACACTCGCAACTGTTACCTGCACTTGACCTGCCGCCACTATTTGTCAAATTGTATTGTTGGCGATCACTCAACACGCATTAGTTTCAACAGGTTCTTTGTGCTTGGCGCCAGGTAAAGCAACGACAGAAACAAGTCTGTTAACTCTGTCGTGTTTTAATGTTCAACCAACTATCCTTACACATTGAAAGCATAGATAAATTGTATGCCTCATATGTTTCAAAATGTTTTTGTTGTTTAGAGTAAATGACGCAACCGTTATATCACTTTATTACCCCATCTCACTCAAACACACACACCACACTCAAGCACCCACTCTCTCCCTCACACTCAAGCACCCTCCTCGCCCTCACACTCAAGCACCCTCTCTCGCCCTCACTCTCAAACACACACACTCTCCCTACACTCAAACACACATACACTCTCCCTCAGACATGCAGTCACTCCCTCACTCACATCCTCACACACTCACTCACATAGCGACCTTTTAAAAATCTCTCTCGGATTACGAAACATCCACACACATAGGTTTATTTTCTAATTTTGGAATGTACAACCATTGAATGTTCCCGAAGATGCAAGCAAAATATATTTGTAAATTTATGCATATTAATGATTATATTCAATTGAATAGCTACCATTTTTTAGAAAAAAAAATAAAAAATTTTCCATGCACAAGTTGTGTACCTTTAGTTGAACAATCTGTCAATTCTTCAGGAAAATATACATCATTTAAACTCTTAAATTCTGTTTGGGGTCTTTCTGACCGCAGGGACCAAATGTTTTGCAACTTTTTGAAAATTATTCACATGGACTTATTTTAGATTTGCTATTTACGTCCAGTTTAGAACGTAATCTTTTCCGTTTTCTAACTTTGTTTCTTTATGGAAAATAATTTGATTTTTACGTGATGGGAGTAAAAAATGCCACCTAAACCTTCTAAATTAAAAGAAAGATTCTAAAAGCATGCCTACTAACTAATTAATTAAAGTAGCCAAAAGTAATGGTAATGAGT